TCAGCTTTATTCAGCTATTGTGAAAATATAAAGTGCAATGTTATGGCACAACAGTTCATCAGAGTCACTTCCCCGAGAGCCAGAGCACCCTGGTGCAGGTGTACGCCTCTCTGCTGATCTAAGGTAATCTAAGAAGAGCATTTAAAAAAACAAAGGAGAAAAAGACCAACTCCACAGTCTTCGTGATGAACATCTGTCAGGATTATTTCTTACAACTAGGTCTTTAATAGGAATTAAATATTTAAGGATTGAGGTGATATTCTCTGGCAAGAATTTAAAGAGAAGAAATTCTACATAGTCAGTTTGGAATAAATATATTACCTTTGTGGGTCCCCTGAGCAGGAGGACAGGACTGATATTTTCTCATTAAAATTAACTAACCAGTTCACATGCTTGAAAGTGCAGCCACACAGCCTCAAGCTGGAGGTGGCCTAAGGGGAACAGCCATGGGGAGGATCAAAACTGTCCTCAATAAATACCCAGATCCAGCAATCCCTGTATTGTGTATATATCCTCCAAAAATTAAATCAGTATGTTGAAGAGTTTATCTGCACTCCTGTTTGCTCAGCATTATTCATAGTAGCCAAGATGTGGAATGAACCTAAATGTCCATAAAAGGATGAATGGATAAAGAAAATGTGGTAAAAATAGGCAATGGAATACTATTGGACCATAAAAAAGAATGAAATCCTGCCATTCATAGCCACATGGATGAACCTGCGGAACATCATATTAAGTGAAATAAGCCAGGCACAGAAAGACAAATAGCACATGTTCTCACTCACACGTGGAATCTAAAACATCATTGACACAGAAGTAGAGCATAGAATAGTGGCTACAAAAGGATTGGGATGGGGGAAATGGTGAGAGATTGGTCAGTGGGTACAAAGCTGCTATAAGATAGGAGGAATAAGTTCTGGTGTTCTAAAGCGCAGTAGGATGACTAGAGTTAATAATATTCATATCTTGCATATTTCAAAATAGCTGTATAAGAGGATTTTGAATGTTCTCATCAGCAATGATAAATGTTTAAGGAGATAGGTATGCTAATTAGCCTGATTTGATCATTACATAATTTACATATGTATCTAAACATCACACTGTACCCTGTAAATATGTGTAATTATTATGTCAATCATAAATGTTTTTAAAATTAAAATTTTTTTAGTTTAAAAATAAAGAACTATCCTCAAAAAAATCATTCTTGGCAAATACCAACAGAAGACAAAAGGGACAAGAAGGCCCCGATGCTACTCCATATATGGAGTAAGACAACAATGATCTTAGTCTGGAAAATGTTCAGAGTAGGTACCATCAATCATCTTCCAACCAGGAAAAAAGAAATTAAGAAACTTGTAAGAACACACTGAATGTCTAATTTTAAGGAATATAACTTTTCTTAGTACCTACAAGAAGATGTAAATGAAAATATACTTCTAGGCAATTCAATACAGGTAGAGTATCTGCCAAGAGTTTTAGAGTAGTTGGTTTAAGCCATTCTTTTTTGGTAGCAGGACCACTCATCATTATGCATAATTTGAAGGAAATCTAGGAATACTGTTTGATTCTCCCCTTTCCCATTCCTTCCAGCTTAAACTTTTATTCCCTTATTTTATTTTCATGCCATTCTCCAAGAAGGCAAATAGGTATATGCCAGTGCCAATTGTAGGTGGCTGTCTTTAGAACATTCTCCAGCCCTCAACACAAAAGAATGTTCTGGCCCATAAGGGCTAAGAAGGGCACTGAAGGGCAAAGCTCTGCAGAGCTTTCACCTCTTCTGTTACTTATCCAGTCTGCAGTATTCAATGCAACAGTATCAATGGTAGCAGGCCCAATGTGGGAAACAATGAAAAATAAAAACAAGAGGAACAGTGACCGTGCCCACAAATAGCTTTCAACCGAGATTGCAAAGTTGTTAAGACATACTCTAACCCTAATAGAAGGTACAGTGTGATATAAATCATAAGTATTGATGGGAGGGAAAATGCTGCAAAGAAATTTGAGAGGATACTGTGCTGTCTTCTTTTCCCTCGAGTTTCTTACTCTGCTCAGTTCAACAAACTCTTATGTGCACCTGCCGGGTGTCAGGCCCTGCGTGAGGGGGTCGAGGTACGGCAGAAATCAAGCACAGGCCTTGTCCTCAAAGAGCAACTCTTAACAAGAGTCTCCAAAGCTTTGTAAAGGTGTCTGCTTGAGGCCAGGGACCTGGTCTTTCTTTGACATAACTTGGCATGTCCCCTCCCTGAAACAGCCCCAGGCTCAGGAGGAGAGAGAGCAAACATTTTTTCAGGAAGGGAATTAACATGAAGACACAGCATCTGGAAATTGGCAGGGTGCCCTCAGAATGCTGGGGAAGTGATTTATTTTTCCAGCCTCGCCACAGGAACCCAAGCCCTGGCAGATGCCTCCATGCGTTAGTGGCAGCTGATCCGAGTGAGATCATTATTAATTATTAGTCACTTTTGAGTGTCTTTCTCAGAAACTACTGAGTACTTGGGAAGCCAGGACGCACTTGAGTTGCAATCAATACTGTATACACCTTGCGCAGGGACCTGAGTGACATGTAATTATAAAACAGTATTGATCCCTGGCGAAGGGTTCAAAATGTACAAATCCTTCATATAAAAATCAGCTAACTCTTCAAAGGCCTGATTATTTTTTTTCCTCAAGAAAGAGACCGATAGTTGGAGTAAAAAACTTGAAATGTTAGCTAAATTAGGGCTATTTCCTGCCAGGAGCCAGATCTGTACACATAATTATTTTATTCTCTGTGCTGGCGCTGGTTCACTTTGGTTGAGTATAAGAAAGGTTTCAGTTTGGGGTCCGTAATCCAAGTTAGTCACTTCCTATGCTGATGTTTTCTACTTGCATCTTCCTATAGATTTTTTCCGTACAACAAATACACGTCTGGGACTTGATTCATGCTCATGCCTGACCCGTCCCTGCTTTTCCTGCTCTTCTCTGTCCTGCTGTCCAGCGGCCCCGCGGCCCCGCGGCCAGGAACTCCACCTGCCCTCACACACCCCATTGTCACCAAATTCTGCCTGTTTTATCTTGGCCTGTTTCTAATTTCTACTTCCAAGCTGGTGTCCACTGCAGTCCTACTAGAATGACTGGAAATCTGGACAGTCTTTAGCCTTTCTTCCTTTAGGCTGCGTCTCCACCCTCAGCAGTGATTGTGAATGTGGGCTCTCGGCCTGTCTCTGCCAAAATCATCGGGGCCCTAATCAGTTTACGCCTCGGTCGTAGAGTCTTGTCCACTCCTGCAGTTGTCAGGGAAATTGAAAATGCAAGTCCGATCAGGTCATTTGGCTGCATCAGGCCCTCAGTGACTCCCTTTCACCTGCAATCTGAGATAGACAAATAACTCTTGGTCTGGAAGGGACAGAAGTGGAGTCTCAACAGATGCAGCTTCTCTCCCAAGACTCAGAGGTTATCGGAAGACAGCAGGTCTACAGGATGGCGGCAGGAACTACATCAGGAAGGCTTCCTCACGGACTGCTATGGCATTTCAAATGTTTGTGGTTGGTTTAGCCGGGGCTGTGACGGAGGACTGCTGCACAAAAGCTGTTTGCTTATCGATGTGATACAGTCACAGTCCATTCTATTCTGGGCGCCTCATGTTTCCCCAGCCATGCAGTGAAGTGCTGTTGAGAATGTTACGAGGGAATGGGCTTCCTTCCTGGTGTGTTCCCCAGAACCTCGTATCTTAGGAAGGAGAAATCCCAGTGCCAGTACAGGGGTCTGACACAAAGGGCCTGCAGCCTTTCTCTAAAGGGGTGCTAATGACATGTTGTATGGGAAAATACTTAGAAATGTGTGACAATCCTGCACCTTGCAGGATGCTTGGTGTCACTAGCCCCTCATGCTAAATGCCAGTCATGTTCCCCAGTCGTTGAGACAACCAGAATAAATCCTTACATGTCCCCACAGAGTTCCAAATGGCCCAGAGATGGGGTAATGGTCACCCTACCATTGGGTGCTGTAACTGCTTGGCCTTCTTCTAACTTCTCCTAAAATGTTCTGCTTTCCTGAGTTCAGTGAAAAACTCGATAATTTGTGATCTTTCTGTCATTCCTGTTGCCTCTTCATCTTTTGCCACAATTGAGCTCAGATGCTGGAGTCACATTGCCTAGCTCTGAAATCAAGCTCCACCACTTAACTGGGTGTGACCTTGAACATGAGCAAGACCTTGAAAAGGTACTTGATCTCTCTGTTTTCTCACATAAAATGGGGATAATAATGATATCTACCTCGGGAGATTTTTGTGAAGATTAAACAAGATAAAGCGTGTAAGGTGCTTATCACACAGTCCACTGTCAGAGACATGGTAATTGTATGTGGCGATGATGATGATGATGATGATGACAACAAGTATGGCTCCTGAGTATAAGGGTCTTATCTGAGCAACAAGTTTAAATTGACACTTAAAAATGAATGTTCCACAAAATACAGCGAGGTAGCATGATACACAAGAAGGGTGGTGGACAGGGTGGGCATCACTAACTAAATCCTGTTGCACCCTCAGCCATTCATGACTGAATGGCTCCGATTGTGCCACTTCACTTCTCTGATTTTTATGTGCTTTATCTATGAAATGTTTGTGTTACATGGTGTCAGAAAGATTGACTGACATAAGCGTTGTGAAGTAATCCCCTGAACAGCTTGATGACATGTAATAAATCACCTGTCTCCTACCCCTGATTTGAAACCCCTCACCAGCCATTGGGAGAACACGCTTACCAGGAACTTCTTGGTGAGAATGCACTTGCGTGGCAAATGGCAGGGTGTTATGCAGGATGCTGGATCTCTCTCCATCACCCCCTCTCTCCCTGCCAGTGTGCCCCCCGCCAATAGCCCAGGAGAGAAACAGCCTTGGAGCATTTCGGCATCTCTCATTAAGAGCTCATATCTGCAGTTGGGCGGCTTTCCCTACTGGCTTCCTGACACCCTCAACCAAGGCCTGTTGCCCTCATAGTTGTCTGCTTGTTGCCCCACAGCAACAAAGGCGAGAGAAGGAGCTGCGGAAGCAGCAGGAGAGGGAGCAGCGCCGGCACTACGAGGAGCAAATGCGCCGGGAGGAGGAGAGGAGGCGCGCCGAGCATGAGCAGGTACAACTGGGAGCGTGGAGCCCGTGGATGGCCCCCTGGGAACTGCAGCGCCAGATGTCTCTGGGGTGTGGGTCACCTTCTCTTAGGACTGCTCAGGTTAAGTGGGTTTTTACTCTTTCTCAAGAAACTATTCTCGCCTATTAAAGAAGTCAAATGCACAGCCTTGGCGGTGCCCACTTGTCCAACCTTGCTTCCTACCCTCGCCAGAGTTCCCTGATATACCTTCCTGTTCCATTTCTCCTAGCCCTGGCTATCTAATTTGAAGGTAGCACTGAAGCATGAAAAATGAGCCAAGCCCTGCTCTTTCATTGCTTCAGAAGAGCTTTCCTACTCATGCAATCTCTGGTCTTTGTGAGTCTGAGTCATTGATACTGATGCAGGCCCCTCTCTCTTTGCTAGAATCACATTCTGACAGCACAGCGAACCAGCAGGATGGTTCCGTTACAAAGACAGTGCACGATGGCATTCCACAATTGTTGTATCCCTGCCGCTTGCACAGAAGCCTATGAACTTTATAGCATTGTTAATTCCAGGTAGTCCATAAAGAGAGGAAGCTGTAATGAAAAGCTTTAAAATGCAGCTGGGTTTATAAAAACCAAATAGTAACAGTAAAATGCTGGGCCATCTCAGTCAGCTGTTGTAGGTAGAAGGTTTGTGCTTTAGACTACATTGAAATGCTTTTGCTTTGGTGTGGCATACTCTCCCTGTTTTGCGAGGAGGTATCTGGGTATTTTTCCACCTTCTTCCTTCTGCACTTTACTTGGCAGCTCTTGTCACCTTTGGAATTACCAGTTCTTTTTCTCTCTTTCTTTCTGTTCCTCTGAATTCTCTGCTGCCTACCTCTGCAGGAATACATCAGGCGACAGTTAGAGGAGGAGCAGAGACAGTTAGAGATCTTGCAGCAGCAGCTACTGCATGAACAAGCTCTACTTCTGGTAATGGGAAAGCCAAGGGCCAGCTGATCTGCTCTGTGTTCAACTTGCATGTGTCTATGTGTGTCTGTGTGTGTCCTCCTAGTGCGCCCGTCCGAAAGAGGGGAGCCTCCAAGCCTCATCGACCTCAAAAATCTCATAGAAACTTAATATATTCGCTGATCAATTTTGCCAAGTTTTAATACATTTAATACAATTGTTATACATTCTTTATTAACTCCATCTATTTGTGAAACTTTAACATGAATCCAGCCTTTTTATAAGTACAAACTGCTTTTGAGACCCACTGTGTTTATTGCAGAGTGATTTTGAAGGCCATTTGCAACACACTGGAATATAATCACAGCAAAATGTACCTCTCCCATAAGAACCCACTCAGCTCTGCAGTCATATTTCATTTGCAGACTATTAGTTTTACCCTTATGATGGGAACATTTTGTGTTCCCTGCTCACGCGGCTTCCACTTGAAGTACAGTACTTTTTATTATTATTGCACTGCTCTCCAAATGGGTTTCTTGGTGTATTTTTTTTTTAACTGAACTTTTTATTTAATGGCGTTCTGATATTTTTTAGCCTGTACATAAGCTTGGTAATGGCCTTTGCTGGTCCAAGTTTTATTAAACAAAAGATGATTTAGGCATTATCGTTAACTGTTTATTTAGTTTTGTACTTAGTTGTGCATGTTTGAATGGTTTAATTACTAGATCAGGAAGTAGATGGCTCCTTACAGGGGTTGTGTGTGGACCATTTAAATGTCCTCATTATTGGCATTTTCTCAGTTGCAATTCATCAGGGACAAGTCACTTTGCAAGTGGCGGTGTTCTGTAGGAATTGCCATTTTAAAGCAGTAGTGTTTTCATCAGATGATGCATTCCCGTGTAGATACTAACATAAGGCTGCAGCTTATTTCTATGGCACATTCTGACAACCTCCTGTAGTTCTGTTAGTATTAAGGTCCTTTGTTATTTAGCATCATTTTGCTAAATAATGATGTTATTTAGCATCATTGCATGCTTAACTGGTATTGGCCAGTGACTTCTGTGTGGTAATTTGGCCTTTTCCTTGTTCCTCTTGCCTGATCTGGACAGGAATATAAGCGCAAACAATTGGAAGAACAGAGACAAGCAGAGAGACTGCAGAGACAGCTAAAGCAAGAGAGAGACTATTTAGTTTCCCTTCAGCACCAGCGGCAGGAGCAGAGGCCCGTGGAAAAGAAGCCACTGTACCATTACAAAGAAGGGATGAGTCCTAGTGAGAAGCCAGCGTGGGCCAAGGAGGTAAGTAAGCAAGTGCAACCACACCCTGTTGGCCAGGCTTTTGGCTCTAATGAATTCATCCAGTAGAAGTGGAGAGTTAACCTAGTGCTGCAGAGTTGGAAAACAATTCATTGCTTTGCTTTTGGAAGAACCATAACATTATTTCTGTGGAGACATGGCAAGGCACCTTACTCCATTTGTGGGGTTTTTTTTGGCATATCTTTGTGGAGATAGTGGATTTTTATAGGCAACAGTAGAAAAATCCTTTTCCTTATACTAATCCAATTGAATTTGTGACATGAGGATTTTTAGCCACTTTTTTTTTTGTTGTTTGAAGAATGTGATTAAGGACTTAATGTAATTCTAGGTAGACTCATTTCCGGTCCATACCTGGGCCTTGTTAACTGGTCATTGACATTGTCACTAACACTACTTTGTTTGCTGTGATACCGGCAGACGCATAGTTGACCTCAGACTTGTGGTTGTGATATTCACTTTTGGGATCAAAAGTCATTTGTGTTTCTTTTTCAAATACTTCCAGAGTAATGATTTGTCATTTGCTTAACTGCTGACCAAGGAAGGATTTCCAGGAATTTGGCCTATGATGAGCTATTTAACAATATAATTAAAAGCTGTTTGGGTGGGAGGAAAAAAGGGTAATAACCAGATGGGTAAAGCAAACACACAAAATAATAACTCCAGCCATATCAGCAATGCTTCCAGGGGGTCACTGTGTCAGCTCATGTGCGTAACACCCTAGTGGCCAGTTCTGTCATTGTTTGTGGCCCCTGGTGATTTCCTTTATTTTCTTGTGAGCGTAGCCAGACATTTTAAGATGTTTTGGGTTATTTTGTATTTTTATTTAGCGTCTCTAGATATTTATAGCTAGAGCTTTTTTTCAAGTTATCTAGACTACAATATTTCCAGGACCAGATTTCTTACACAAGATCCTATTTTTATAAAAGTAGTTCTGTCTTTTTATTTTTCTCTCTTACCTGATATGTATAGAAAATTCTTAAAATTATGTTGTCCTAATGTTAATGATGGTGGTTTATGGGAGGTAGAAATCAAAATACTGATTTTTTTCTTTGAACTTTTTTATATTTATGTAGATTGTTTAAATCCTGTGTAGTATCATATACTATTTTAATGAAAATAACTTTTCTTTTAAAAGTTACAAAACAGTCTATAGAGAAAATCATTTTGATTTGAGATGAAGAACATTTTCGATCACTTTCCCTTACATCTGTAAACATAATCTGTATTGACCTATGTCTGTAACAGCTGCCTCTCTCTCTTAGATCAATAATTCAATTTTGTGATCCTGCTCTCAGGTACAGCAACGACCCCTTAATAATCCACCTGTTCTTCCAGCTAAGCAGAGTGACTGTGCTGTTAAACAGCAGCTGACATGTGTCCTGGCTGGCAGAGAGGTACCACCTTCCTCCACTGCTAAGCCATTTTCTAGCTATGCCAAGTTGAAATCTTCAGCTATGCCAGACTCACAGCTCCTGACCATGACAGGTGTTGAGAAAGCTGAAAAACTAACCTCTACAAAGCTAATACCAGTAGCTCCTGCAGGAATTAATGATTCCAGATCAAGACTCCTGTTTGAGCATCACTCGCGGAAGAAAGATGGACCAGCTTCCCCTATTAGACTTGGTTTGGAAGAACAACTGAAGCCTCAGGAAGCCTCATGGACCATAGTGAGATCTCGAAAGTGATCTCGCTCCCAAGGATGTAGCCCAACTCAAGAGTTAGGATCTAAGGTCATTTGTGTGTCCTCTCCCAACATCTCCAAAGTAACAAGCCCCCAGTTGTCCATTACTGAAATCAAGGAAGGCCTTAGAGACCTATGCATACCTTGGGGCAGAAGGGGCATGAACTCGTGCATCTTTACGAGCACCTCGACTCTTCTAAGAAATGCTGCGTCGCTAAGTAACCTCTCCTTGATGCCTGACCACTCGGCAGTCAATGTTTCCAGCCCCAAGCATGAGTTTAGAAGAGAGACACCTACAGATCCCATTAAAGAGGACCACAGTTTCTTGCAAAGAATCCCAGAATTTCTTCTCTCCCCTAGACAGCTCTTTCATGCACAAATGTACCAGAAAAAGAAGAAAAGCATAGAGCAGTTTCCATTTCCTTCCTTCAACCTCTACCCAGCACATTCTGATTTGAACTTGTCCACTTTGACTTCATTGTTTTCTAGTCACTATTTGTCCTCATCACTAAATTTACTGGACTATCCTCTCCATTCAGAGCTAGCTCACAGTTCCCAAGCTTTCAGAAGCCATGGCATTCCTGGGGGCAAGTCTTTGCAGACGTCATCAAGGCAGTTTTCTGGACCGCCTAGTTCCTCTGTGCTTCCCGGGAAGGCTCCTGGCAGGAAAAGAAACATAGCAGCTGGGTGTGCAAACAACATGGCTGTGTTGCCAAGCACTCCCGATGGGAGATTTCCTGGCCACCATAAGTCTGGGCCACCTCTGGTGGGTGACGTCTTCCAAGGTCCCTGGCTTCCTAGCAGCTGGTTCTCTTCCTTTGGGCTTGATGCACTTCCAGAGATATGTGGGAACATTCTTTGGGGATTTCATATCTAGTCCTTTCCTCCTGGGTGTGATTAACATAATCCAGTTTCCAACTAACCATCCATCTATTCATGAAACAGTTCTCAAGCCTTAGAGTGAATGATCATATTTTGGAAGAAAGACGAAACATTTATATGATAGAAGGAGAGTGACAGTTTCTCCAATTTCGGATTGGAACAACTGATGTACAACTAAGAACAAATAATTGCCCGCCTTAGTTTGATTCATCATTTTTAACACCCACTTCTTAAAATGGGAATAAAAATGAGTGTGAGGATCTTTATCTTCTTGATCTTTTAATGCTTCTCATCAGCAATGTATGAACTTTTTTTCTAAAGCATTATTTACAAATCTCTTTTTTTATATCAGAGAGGCAGGTGGGGCTCAAAGTAGCCAAACAGTAATAGGCATTTTAAGACTTTAGATGTAAACAGAACTTACAGCTTATCAGTATTTTAACTATCAACTGATAAGAAAACCTGGATTAAACTTTCTGGAGGTGGAGTTAAAAAGTACCATTTTCTTTTTCAAATGCATCCTTTACCAGGATATAAATTTGAAAATATCCTCACCTGGGATGAGTGGGCAGCTATGCTCATGAGACTGTCTCCTGGGATATAGGGTCTGGACATTTTTACCCTCTGTGCTATTGGAGATACCACCAGCTGTCTTCTACCCATTGCAACTTCTTCTGTGATCCGATCCAGCATTTATTTTCTACCTCAGCTCTATACCTTCTCATCGAGATGTTTTTTCCTTCTTTGATTACTTTCCCATCTACTCCTCTTCCTTATTCCAAATCAACACTCTTTCATCAGCAATGTAATGTTGTCATAATGCTTCATCCTCTGTGTTTTTGTTTCTTCATTTTATAAAACACGAGTGATCACTGCATTTCTCATTACCTTTCTCATTAATCTGTTGGATGGGGTAAGAACAAATGGAAATGCTCAGTCTTTTACAAATCTTATTGAGCTCCTCTCTCTTTCCTTTTACTGAGTGTTCTTCCTGTCCTGAATGTCACACTGGCTTTGATTTTCAGGTTTCAGCCAGAAAGGAACATTAATGTCTCTGCATTTAAAGGAGGGGTGGGGAGCATTCTCACCCCTTTGAAATTATCGGCCATTTTTGGATTGGAATGGAAGCAAGATTTGTTCTGTGAAAATATCAGTGTGATGTTCTGTTGAACATCAGCAGAATTTGAAAGTCTTCTGTCACTTTTTGGATGATGGAGATTCCTTTTTCTTTCTCCTGTTCCCTATGATGACATATGATTGTCTGGGCCTGCTAGTAACTGTGTGTGTTCCCCTCTCCTTTCTATCCCACATATATTTTTTAAAAAAATTTTGCACCAAGGCTCAGCAATGATAGAAGGCTTTGTTTACATAGGTATTACATGAGATTATATTTTAATTCTTTTTTTTTTTTTTTTTTGAGAAAGGGTCTCACTCTGTCACCCCAGGCTGGAGTGCAGTGGCCTGATTATAGCTTGCTGCAACCTCAAACTCGTGGACTCAAGTGACCCTCCTGCCTCAGCCTCCCCTGTGGCTGGGACAACAGACATGCGCCACCATGCCCAACTAATTTTTTAAATTATTTTTTATAGAGACAGAGTCATGCCATGTTGCCCAGGTTGGTCTTGAACTCCTGTTTTATTTGGCAAATGATGATCTGATAGGGACCAAGTTATCTCTTACTCTACCAGTCCGCTGTATACAGAAATTGTGTATAGTTTATACATGAGGTTCCCAAATTACAATTTAGAGAGTTTATAGCTCTGGTCTCGTCTTTTCCCAGTTTATGCGTATGTCTCTTAAGATTTAACATAAGAGAGACCTGGATGAAAACAGTGAGGAGTGTGTTTGAGTTCATGTTCTTCTGCTTCCTGGCTGTGCCCTGGGGCAAGTCTCTTCCCCTTCCTGAGATGCAGCTTCCTCATGTGCACTTCCTGCCTCACAGTTGGGAGGATCATGGGCATTAATGTATGTGCTTGTGCCGTTTAAACATTAGGCATTGTACAAATGCAAAATATATTATTCAACACATTCCTATTTTGTTCCCAAAGCCGTTGTAGCTCACAAGGAATAAGTGTTTTGACTCTGTTGTTTCTGGTTTGATTTCCCATGACCAGTTCACTCACATCTCCCATCTTCTCGCCCACCTCTCCCAGGTGATACATAAACACTTCTTTATTTCCCATCTCAGCTTGTTAAGGATTCTCTTCATTACTTTGAAGTTATGTGCTCCATTCATGTGGGATCTATACCTTTTTCTGGAATATTGGTTATGAGTGGACCCTGGGAAATAGTTCAGCCCTTATCTTTAGACAAGATTGCATTTTAAGCATTCCTTACGAATGAGAGTCTCCCCTGTGCTCAGACGTGTCCCAGACAAGGGGCGTCCTCAAACTTGCTCAGTAATTATTAATATCTGCTCATGGTGGTTTTGCCAAAGGACAATATGACTCAGTTCTTTATGTGAGCAATGAGTGCAGGGTCAAAGTATCTAATGAGCACTTAAAAGTTATTTATTGACTTCTTTCTCTTTATCCAGTATTGCCAGTAAACACAAGAATCAAATTGTTTTGTTCAGTTGGGGAGAAAAAAAGGAATTCCCGTACAATCGCATTTGATTCACCGCATATTAGCTCTTACGTAAGGCCTTCTAAGACCTTCATAGACCCTAGGGACCCCGCATACTATAAAATGTTGTTAAAATGCACCCATATAACATAGTAAATATATATTTGCTGTCAACATTTTTGAAATTACTTCTATGATTTTGTTTTGAAATTCCTTCTCAGTGGATGTCATTCATTACTGTGAAGTGAGACATTGTAACTTATAAATTGTTTTCAAGTATAAAAAACAATTTGACAATTGACATTGACATATATTTAAACATATTTTTATTTATTTTGAAAATTTTTTTAAAGCACATAATTAACAAATGTATTTTTAGGTCTTCTACATTTGTGTAGCCTTTATACAAGGTCAGAGGCCTTCGACGTCACTCCTTTACTTCCCAATGGACAGCACAGCCCTGTCTGGAGTGCAATTTTATTTCCAAGACCACCGTCATTTTTTCTTTCTCTCTATAATGCTGTAGTAAATAGTATAGCATTTCTGCAGAGGTGATGCAAAACTCTCCAAAGTTATTTTAGTTTTCATGTTGAAATGATCCTATTAATAAGAAAAAAATTTCTTTTATGGCAAAATTGATGAGTCTGCTCATCTTGTTCTCTGTATTCACTGATAATCCCTTCATCTATAAAATCCTTTATAACAGGTATCATTGTTTGGGTGTAGCACCTTAACAATCTGTATCCGATGTTACTAGAACACCCTTTTCAGTGGTGCTTCTGGCATTTTATGTCTTCTTGGTAGCAGGAGGTTGGAGGAGAGGCTTGGCTACTAGACTTTTTTAATATCCTCGGGCAGATTGAAACATGTCTTGATTGTGCCCCGGTTTTTAGTCACATATATCCTTACTCTGGGGTGGGAAGGGGGGAACCACTTTCTTTTGTCTCAGGTATCTATCTCCTATTCAATGAGTAGACATAAGTTATGATAAATCAGAAGACAGGCCTTTGCCTGGCATCAAAATAATCCTAGATATACTATCCAGCTTTCCCTCTGTCCATCTGAAGCTATTGTTAGGAGAAGCACCACTTCCAAATGTTTGGTTTGATATGTTTGCTCCAGTACTTAATGTGATCCTTTGGCACAAAGGTACTTGTGCAGCATTATTTTCCTTAAGACCTTAGGACAAGGTTTTCTTGAGAAAAAAGTTGTAGCCAGATGCCTCATTGTTACACCCTTCTCATAGATTTACAGATTTCTTTGGACAAACTCCAACCCAAGAAATTTCAACACATTGGACCCTTCCTCAAATAATTTACAGTCATTTATGCCATATATTTTAGAATGGTTTAGATTGAAACATACTAATGTTAGGATTTAGTATTTAAACTACCTGATAGAAAGCATAGGAAATTTTACTAGAAGTACATTAGTAACATCTATACATGACTAATCAAACCCATTAATTGCCTATGAATATCACTACCCCACTTTCTGCCCTATTCATTTCTAATGACAGCTTTAGGGCCCCTTGTGTCCGGCAGTCCTATTGGCAGCAGGGATGCTTAGGCTGGAGCTTTGTTGCTGACAGTTGCCACAACAATTCTTTATCTTAATAATGGTTTCTTTGCTCCAGATAGAGTCTTTAAAGACAGATTTTTCCACTGTTGTTTTTAATGTACATTCTCTTAATGTGTATTTAAAACTGAGCATATTTTACAGTTAAAAATAATAGTAACAAGTATAAATATATTCTCTAAATATATTTGGTTACTGAATTTTGGGACAATTGGCTAGAGTTTGGATAGCCAATATTTATCTGAAAACGTGTTTGAATCTCTTGGGTTCCTGAGCTCAGAGAGCAATGGTTTATATAGTGGGAGTTTGGATATTGAAGGCTGCTTGTACATGTGATTGGTCTATTAACGATCTTCCCTGGAAATAAGGAAATGGATAATATTTGACCAATTCTAGTGGTCTAGAAACATTAATCTTCTTTTCAAAGAGTCTGGCATTTGTAAAAGGAATGCATTGCATGCATTGGTCTCAGTTTATCTATTGCTATCTTTACGGGACTTTTTCTTCTTTGTGGTCTTATCTGAAAGCTGACTTTGTCCTTTTACTCAATGCAATAGCCAAATAATTATTGCTGATGTAATACTTTGCACACGTGCACACACAAAGTATACATGTTCTGTTTTACATTCCTGGCTTTTTGCAGCAAATCTTATTTGGTATGTGGTGAGCTTCTGGGACATGGAATTTCAAAACCAAAGTCAACTGGATGCCACTTGTATGCACCCTGCACAGCCATGGCTGGGGAAGAGATGTTCAGATTACACCTCAGTAGAGGCAGGAGGAATGTTTTCTATTTGAGGTTAATGTGAGTTTTAAAAACAGCCTTATTCTGTATATTAGACTGAGTCTGCCTCTATAAAGAGTCAAAATGGAGTAGGGAGGATGGGAAAAAATATCTCTTCTGAATTTTTATTTCAAATCAGGCAATAAAATGAATAAAGACTTTTAGCTGGTAAAGATATGCAGACAGACGTGAATACTGAATACCTGCTTGTAGGCTCTTACAATGCTCAATGCGTGAACAGAAGAGTATTAAGGGCTTACTCTAAAGGCCATCAGGGTGGTGAGAATGGTTGCATTGTCCTGGTGGGTTTGGGAAGCACAAGGGTCAAATTGACCCTGAAGAAATAAAGGACAGGATGCAATGGACCTGGAGAAAAAGTCCTAAACCTCTTAAAGTTGTCTAAGATCTTAAGTCGTGTCTTGCAGTATACACCTTGTTTATCTAAATTTCCCTTCAAAATTGTCCCCTGAGACAGTCTGTGTGCTGTAAATATGTACTAAGGGTAATTTTTACCTATTAAAAAGGCCATTCACTGGTCTTGCGAACCTTCCCTGTGAAGCACTTGGGATCAGTGACCTGCTCGGGGCTGAGAGAAACACTGGAAGAAGGGCAATGCCGAGGAAATGAAATGGCCAGCGGGGGAGCGGAGAGGAGGGAAGGCAGAATGAACACCACATGTGGAGACGCAGGGAGGAAGAAAGGGGAGAGCGAGGCAGTGGAGTCCAAGCTGGCGTGGAAAGAATGAGCAGGAGCAGTGTATTTAGGGAGCAGGGAAAGACAACTGGAAAGAAAGACCCTTGAAGAGAGAAAAAGAAAATGATACAGGAAGTCTACTTAAGATAGGTCATGTTATTAAACAGGCAGCCTGGAACACCCACTTGCCTATCAGTATAGGGCCTGTGAAGAAATGGAGGGTGTGTGCACTCAGCTCCATCCTCTTGTTCTTCCCCTGCCTGTCCTGTGAATCAGCCCAAAGCAAGTTTCCATTTTCCCCAAGCCCTCTTAATGCATACTGCTGCTCCTTTGATTATGTAGGGTGCAAACTGTCTCCCTTGCTGATGCCGTGGCCTAGTGACCAGTCAGCAAGATAATATCCCAATCGATGCAAGATAAACTCTGAAGCAGATCCCAAATTTCCAGCTAACTGAATTAACACAAGATTATGGATAATGGAAGAGTGATGGCTTAGGTGTTCTTGGGGTTTTTTTTGTTGGCGGTGCTAGTGTTTGCTGTGATAGAAAAGAGTTCTTTTGGCCGGGCGCAGTGGCTCACGCCTGTAAGCCTAACACTCTAGGAGGTCGCGATGGGAGGATTGCTTGAGCTCAGGAATTCGAGACCAGCCTGAGCAAGTGTGAGATCCTGTCTCTACTAAAAATAGAAAAATTAACCAGGTGTGGTGGTGCGAGCCTGTAGTCCCAGCTGCTCGGGAGGCTGAGGCAGAAGGATTGCTTGAGCCCAGGAGTTTGAGGTTGCTGTGAGCTAAGCTGCGGCCACAGCACTCTACTCAGGGCAACAGAGTGAGACTCTGTCTCAAAAAAAAAAAAAAAAAGAGTTCTTTGCAAATTCTTGATACAGAGCAGAAACTGAGAATTTTGGCTTCTTAATATGAATTATCAGAGAGTTCAAATGGCTGTGCAGGTGACTACAGAAGGTCCTTACTAGGAGATGAATTGACTTCTATCCATTGAGGCTCTTTTGCTTTTGGCTTCTAGGTAGAAGAACGGTCAAGGCTGAACCGGCAAAGTTCACCTGCCATGCCTCACAAGGTTGCCAACCGGATATCTGACCCCAACCTGCCCCCAAGGTCGGAGTCCTTCAGCATCAGTGGAGTTCAGCCTGCTCGGACGCCCCCTATGCTCAGACCAGTCGATTCCCAGGTACATTATGTTGTCCTTTCCATTAGGTATTCCAGTAGGGTATACAATAAAACCTGTGTTCAGGCATGGGACCAATCAAATTATGACCCTTAATATATAATTCATAGTAATATAGAAGGCCCCACTGAATTTGACAGGTAGGGGAAAAATGAATCACTTCTTGGTAAATTGGCCTCTCTGGAGACCCACAGGAGTTTCTACAAGGTAAGAACAAGCATCCTCTTAGTTATAATTCCCAACACTAGAATTCATATAGACCTTTGAGGTATACATGCTGTGTGTGTATGTATATCATGTATCTATATAGAAAGTATATGTAATCTTTTGTCCCTTGGGATTTTGACATGAGCCCAAAACTGGAAAAATTAAGTGTACTTTTTAAAGTAAAACTATGTCTTCTAAGCCAGTCGTTCTCAAAATGTGGTGATTGAATCAACAGCATCAGGCATCACCCAGGAACTTGGTAGGAATGCTGATTCTCGGGCCCGCTCAGCCCCACTGATCAGCACCCCTGGGCTGGGGCCTGGCAGCCTGTGATTTAACAAGCCCTCCAGGTGACTCTGATGTACTTCAGAGTCTGAGAACCACTCTTGTAAGCTATTTGGTAAAGAAAAAAGATTACTCCACTTTTAGGAAAGGAGGAAGTTTCTGGAAGTTCTACAGAACTTTTATATTATATATACTAAAAATGAAATAAAAAATGAAATGGGTTATGGAATTCCATGAAAAATAATGGTAATGCAGGTTTTTTTACCCAAATGTCTTCAATTTCTTCCAGGTATCCACCTGTGTTAAGACTTCCACAAAATATTTTGAGGTCACTTTTGAGACATGTAACTGTTTGAACTGGAGTTTAAAAGAGTAGTGATAAAATCAAGTATTCTCTATGTTTTGAGTTTGCCTTTAATAAATGAAGCCCAAGAATTTTCAGCACCAGCCAGCTTAGTGTATCTTCCCCTGGTTGGTTTTAATTTGTATATAATTCTTTCATGCCTAACCCTCAAAGGGATACATTTTTTTTTATAGGAAGTTCTCTTTTAATGTACAAACATCCTCTTTTAAAACTCCTATCTTTGACCTTGGAGGGTACTTTCACCTTGTAAAAGGAGAGAATAGAGAGAAATTTACTTTATGCAAGTGGCTAGGGAATGAAAATGTAGCTGTTCTGTGACAGTTAATTGGATAAAGCATGTTTCAGGTGCTTCGGTTTTTGTTTTTATTTTATTTTTTGCCTCTTTTAAAGTAAGTTTGTGTTTTGTACTTGATATTTTTTAATTTTTCAAAACTTTTTATTTGTATAAATTATGGGATACAAGTGCAGTTTTATTACATGCTTAGCTTTCATAGCGGCCAAGTCAGGGCTGTAGAGTATCCATCTCCCGAATAATGTACATTGTACCCATTAAGTGATTTCTCATCATCCACCCCCCTCGCACCCTCACCCTTTTGAGTCTCCACTGTCTGTCATTCTACTCTCTACATCCATGCGTACACATTTTTTAGCACCTACGTAATGTGCCATATTTGACTTTCTGTGTCTGGCTTGTTTCACTTAAGGTAATGACCTCCAGTTCCATTTAAATGTGCTTTGTTTTAATATCATTATTTAATATAGTTAATGATATTTAGCATTAATATAAATTTAATGGATTCTATTCTGGTTAAAGTATAACCTTCAGCTAAATTGGGGTTTGAGGGTTTTCTCTGATTGTCGTTAATAACATTCCAACACTGAAATTTCAGACCCAACAGCGTTTGACAGGTCCTTGCACAAAGCAAATACTAAATTAATATTTGTTGAGTTAACAATTTAATTTAGAAAGCACTATAGATATTTCCCCAGCCAAAATGTGTTGAACACTTCCCATATGCAGGCAGAGTTAGACTCAGGGACACAATGTGAGTGTGACAGACATAGATCCTGTCTCCAGGGAGTTCACCTTCCTGAAGTCAGAGGAGACAGATAAGATAATCACTAAGAGTGAAGTGTGAGCAGGGCTGTGGCAAAGGGGGTACCCTGTGCTATGTATTTTAATGATTTGTCTTAAAGAGCCACAGTTTCACCGAAAGACTGCCTGTCTTCCCTGCACAAACAATATCACCACATGCCCAGTTGTGAGACTTACAACTCTAAAAGAAATGTCCTGGTGTCAAGACATACATAATACCATAGAGGGTCAGAGACCACACAGCGGAAAGCAGGCCATTGCAGAGGTTAGGCATATGTGCTGTGAGCATAGAATGCCTGGGTTCCAGTCCAGCCTCCGGCATGTGTTAGCTGTGAAATCCAGGGTATTGCTTAACCTCTCTGTACCTTCCATTGCTCATGTGAAAAATGGGGGCAATGATTGTGTCCACCTCAGGGTGGACTCAGTAAGATAACGAGTAAGATACTTAGAGCAGTTCTTGCTTTACAGAGTAGTAGCACTCTCTGAAGTCAAAGTTCGGGGTGGGGGGAGGTTAAAGGAGGAAGTTTGTAATATTAGAAGAGAATTGGTCGTAAAATATATTATATCGCTGGTCATGTTTACTAATACACAGTAGTTACTATTATTATTATTATTATACTTGTTCCACGGACTTAGCATTGTCAAGGATTTCATCTAACTTTTTGCCAGGAACCCTAGTTAAGCCCTACATAGCGCTCTAAATGGAAGATTTTGAAGAGCTGTTAAAAATATGCTATAGATCGCTGTGATGAACTCTCTGTCGTCCAATTTTTGTGCCCTAGAACTTCTTTTTGCCCTTCAGCTGATTGAGGTTCTAACTGATCTGCTCATCTGCTTTTTCTTCTACTAATGCTGCTCTTACGTTGTTTTAATGCTTAGATCCCACATCTGGTAGCTGTGAAATCCCAGGGCCCCGCCTTGACCGCCTCCCAGTCAGTACACGAGCAGCCCACAAAGGGCCTCTCTGGGTTTCAGGAGGCTCTGAACGTGACCTCTCACCGCGTGGAGATGCCGCGCCAGAACTCAGATCCCACCTCTGAAAACCCTCCTCTCCCTACTCGTATTGAAAAGTTTGACCGAAGCTCTTGGTTACGGCAGGAAGAAGACATTCCACCAAAGGTAATATTGCTGGGGTGTTTTCATCATCACCGTCTTCGCTGATTATTATTATTACCACTAGTCCAGACCTTTCTTGGTAATGAAGAATGTGATCATGCCAAAGCATCTTCTTATGTTTGTTTTGGTCCCTCATTCCCAAGCTAAGACTTCGATTGTCGTTCATCATTACTGACCTTCATTTCCCCCAAAGAAACTGAGGCTTAGGTGTATTGTACGTCTTGAAAGCATATATCCTGTATCCAGAATTAGAATTCTCAACCCCAAGCTTTCCAAACTATTATTTTACTATCCACGTTAAGAAATAGAATAATGGATATTTTCATTGATGACTGACTCTACATCTAGGCAAATTGAAAACTTGCAGATAAAAAGTAGAAAATTTATTTATTCCTATTTTTAACAACACAAAGTGAAACCAGATTTCAGGGTTCCAGAAGATCGTACTGCTCTTAGAATAATTTAGTTGGCCTCATTTAAATAAAGTTCTTTCTGGGCCAAGTCTCATTTAATTTCTTAATTTATTATTGAGGATAAAACTTTAGGGTAAAATGCCCAGCCATCCCACTGGACAAGAACAGCCCTAAGTTTGGGTTCTTTTGTTTTCCTGTACCAAGTCCTTACTCATTTATAAGAACTGTTCCGGAATGTGGCTGTGCATCTGGCTGCAGAACAACCTGGAAGTATTTCAAAATACTGAAGAAACTTTTGCATCATTCTTCCTGGTTTAGGAATCCCCTTTATCCTGAGCTCAGCATAGGAGCTATGACAAATGAAATATTCCACAATTTCCAAAAAAAATAATGCCATTGTTAATTCCAGAAAAAATAAAAATTTTTACTCAATGATTTACAAATATATTTCCTCATTTTCCTCTCAAAAGGGTATTATAGCAAGAGTCCCAAAATAAAATCAGCCAATAATTTGTTGATGTTGCATCTCTGTGGAAGCAGAAATGCCATCAGTAAAGGTTACTAAGGGAGCAAAGTTCAATATGGAAAATAAGGTGAGTCGAGCAGCAGACACAGCAGTTGGAGAAACTGACAATGGAAGTTATTGGTCCACTCTAAAAATATGCAGGCATACACGCATAAAGCTGGGAGAAAACTTTAGACCAATTCAAAAACTTAGGTTTTAATAATTTGTTAGGCTCTTTCTTCTCTGCAACTATTTATATTTGCAGATATTTAATTTGAACAGGTGGTAGCACTGATTTGGCCTTTCTGCTTCACTTCACTGGCTTATCTTTATGTTAAAATGAATTATAATAAAAATTAATTTTTCGAAACAAAGGATGACATTTTACATTGAAAGTAATTTTCAGCACTAGGATTCATAATATGATTCTCTTAAATAATGAACTCCTTTGGTACACTTGCAATATTTGATTTCATTTTTAAAATGTTCATATGTTTCATAAAATGAGGCATACTTGAATTCTTCCTGAGGCTTTTGCCAGATAAGCTCATAATACATTTTCCTACTGTACCTCATAGTCTTATTGGTACTCACACAACCTTTTTGAAGACCGTTTTCAGTATTTTCGGTATTAATCCTGTTTTGTATTATGTTGTATTATGTTTGCTAATTGACCAGAGCACAGTGCTTTTGGTTTCTGGTTTTAGTTAGTAATTACAAGTTGATTAGGAAGTAGAAACATTCTGGATCCATTGCAGTAGGTTCGCTGAGCTCACTGACGTATGACTTATGTCCCAAGTTCTATTCTGATATCCTACTTTCTCACCAGATTTCATAATTTCCTTATCTGCTTAGTTGTAGTGTGAGGTAAAAATAGAACTTGATTTGTGTGGGTGGCTCTCACCTGATGCAACTTCCAGTGAGTTAATGGTATCCCGAAGACATTTCTGATATTCTTCAATTTTGCCCAACCAAGAGAGGTTAATTATTTTTAGCCCAGTGAATCAAACTTACTAGCTTAGTCTATCTTTAAATTTGTTTTTAAGATTGAGGTGACCCTTCTTAATGGTTGCCGAATTTGCCTCATTACCTTTTGCCAGTGGACCCTTGTTTGATTTTGGGGGTGGTGGGAGTTTAATATTTCTTCGAGGAATAAAGATCGTTCTCTCCTGTTTCAGATAGTTTCTGTAACTTCTGGCAAATCTTTGGGAAGGAGAAGGATTTTCTGACAGTAGCCTATGGAAGCTATTTGATAGAAAATATTTCTGAATTCTGGTTTTTTCCAGGTGCCTCAAAGAACAACTTCTATATCCCCAGCGTTAGCCAGAAAGAATTCTCCTGGGAATGGTAGTGCTCTGGGACCCAGACTAGGATCTCAACCCATCAGAGCAAGGTAAAGGAAGGAAATTGGTTAAGGTAAAAGAAAAAGGCCCTACCACCACTGTCATTATTGCTTTCCTAAAAATGTCTATGTTCTTTTTTCATTCAGAGGCATGTTGACTTGCTATCTGGACTGTAAGCTTTGATGGGCTAGAACACAAGCCCTTTATTTCTTCAGTAGCTTTTCACAGAAGTCAGTATTCAGTGGGAGCTCATGAATGAATGAGTGAATAAATGAATGAATGTATGAAGCAATTCAGAAGCCAATTGGGTGTACCTTAACTGGTAGTTTTTAAAATCTGGGAGTAAAATTACAAATATAAATCTGGTTGCAATACCCCAAAGCACTGTTTCAGAGATCATTTTATGGAGTCAGCAGAACAAAATGGCCTGAGTTGAGGTGATTTTTAGCATCAGGTCAGGAAACATGCCCTGGGAACCACTGAGACATCACAAAGTCATTGCCAAGGAAATAGTGACCAACTTCAGAGCTTCCCTAGCTTGGCAATTATAGAAGGACTAACTCCTGTGAGGGAATCACCTCTTTGGCATTATGGAAGGTCACTGAAGTACTGTTATGGTTCCACTCTTGCTCTGTGTTCTTCTTCCAGAATTTTCCACCAACAATGTATATTCCTACAGTCAGGAAATTGCATCTACTTCCACTGGTTGGTGTGAAGGTCTGGGAGAAGCTGGAAAGTAAACAATATCTTTACAGTATCTGAGCAGATTTTACGTGGTAACAGATGCTGTTTGTGGCTATAATTCATCAATCTTCCCTCAGATTTTTCATGATGAATACATCCTTTTTTAGGATCAACTGAAATAGCAAATGGCCTCTGCAGAGGCTATAAAGAGGATGAGCTTGGGAAGGCGGTTTTCTTCTTCATTGTGTTCATAATAAGGGAAGAATCTTGCTTTGCTAGTAAGAGAAAGAAAGACTAGAAGTGAAGATTATCATTATATGTACTTATCTTTAAAATATGGAATACTTTTGATCAGAAAGCTTTAGTTTTCCTCTGTACATGAAAAGCCTTAGAAAGGGGTCAGTCCATAAATAAGACGGAACTATAGTAAGAGCTACAGTAAGAGCAAATGCCCTTAGGGCAAAGATGCTAGCCCATTCTGAAGGGAATTACCAATGGCAAGAGGCTCTGAAAGAGCCATTTTTCCTGTGACTTGTCAGATTCGCGCTGAGCTGGTGTTGCTAAGCAGCGCTGAGGAATACCAGAGCCACTGTGACCCAGCCACCCAGGAATGTGAGCTCGGGCCTGCCAGCCTGAACCTTATCTATCCCCCTCTTTAGCAGCGATAAGTCCCCAGTTATTGGTGCTTCTTGTGCCCTTGAGCCCTGCCCTTGGGGCTCTGTACATTGGATCAATTTCTTGGAATTTTAGTGGCTTTAGATCAAGCATTATTTCAAGTTTTAAGTATATTTCCTTCTGTTAACCAAAAAGAAAAGCAGAGAACTACCATTATATAGTCAAATAGCCACTTCTTATTCCCTCTGAAGTGCATTTTAATGACACTTGGGCCTAAGGTAATTGGTATTTGATGATGAGTGGCTTACAAAATATGAGCTTTTTCCCTTGGAACCATTTAAACATTATACTTTGTCCAAAGAATGCCAACTTTGTGAGAGATGGCTAACATTTTTCTACTTACAGAAGAGGGGAGGAAGTAAGCTAGGAGTTAATAATTATTTACCTACAATGAAAGTCGGAGATTAGGGAGCAGGGGGTGGGGGATGGAGAATCCCCACCTCTGCACGTGGGACAATCCTGCAGAACATCCTGCTTCTTGCTGTCATGTACCTCCTTGTGACCAATGTTTAAGAATCAGACTTTGCAGCTCTATATTGCATTGCTTTTTTAAAAGCTTCAAGATTTGGTTTATTTACTATGATAAAGATAGCTTTAGTTCACCTTTGCTGCATAATAAACTACCCCAAAACTCAGAGGCCTGAAACAGTAACAGTTTATTATTTCTCATAATTCTGTGGGTTGGCTAAGAAATTCCTCTGCTGATCTCATCTGGGCTCACTTGTGCAGCTGCATGGAGCTGATGGGTCAGCTGTCCCTCTTTCTCCACGGATCTTTCATCCTGGACTTCTTTACCTTTAGTGATTTCAGAATAGCACTTCAAGAGGGAAAGCTCCAATGCATAAGCACTTCTGAACTCCTTGCTTGCATCACCTTTCCTGATGTCCCATTGGCCACCCAGGTCACTTGGCCAAGCCCCGAGTCAATGTGGAAAGGAACTACACAGGGGCATGGACACTGGGAGATGTGATGTGCTAAGGGCCATTACCAAGGCACATGTTTCTGACTGTATACAGTAATGGAGCAAGTATGGCTGTGTAGGCACCAGTTGGTCAAGAAAGTGTTACTGGGTGTCACCTGTACTTCCCTGCCTTCTGCTTGGTTCAGGGTAATTTATTTATTTTTTCATTTAATGAACACCTCTGGAGCACTGTGTGTACTGTTCTAAGTGCTTTACAAATATTAACTAGTTTAAACCATATAGCAACTCTGTGAGGTAGTGACTATAATCACCCCCATTTTACAGATGGAGAAATTGAGATACATGCAAATAAATTGCCCAATGTGACAAAATTAGTTAAGTGGGAGAGCCAAGATTTGAACTCAGGTAGCCTTGCACCAAAGTCTATGCTCTTACGTACCACTCTGTGCTAATCTATTTAGTATGGATGCAGCTGGCATTGCTGCCTCATTTTCCCAAGGGAAAGCAGCCCTTGATTCATTGACTGGCACAGCACCATTTTGCCTCTACCTTTCACACCATGTGGTTTAGTGAGTCAATGAACAGCTCCTCTTAATCTTACAGTTATTCATTCTTATCTTGTGATACTCACTGCCTTTTAAAAATTGTTGTCCTGTGAGACTCATTTATATCCCAAACACTTCCCAACTTGAGCTGGAACTAATATTATCATATGCTTTTGATAGTTCTCTTCTTAGATGGCTAAAGTCCTGGTGATAACACAGTCACCATGACCCCATGTACCTGCTCCCTGCCTTTCCTTCTCATGCATATGCAGCTGGGCATTGCTCAGGCTGCAAGATCATTGGACAGTTCTCACCTGCTCTATAGACTCCCAAATGCTTCATGCTGTCAAGGTGACAAGTGAATTTAAATCAAGATTTGACTTGATTATTTTAAAACATTGTTTTAAAAAATCCCAGGCACTTTCGTATTTAATTTTGATGCATGTGTTCTTTTAAAGCAAATTAAAATTTGATCAAACTATTACATTCAGAATAGGAAGAGATGCAAATTAAGCCAGAAACACCCCGTCAAAAACCCAGTGACTAAATGCTTAATTTCAAAAACTAATCCCCTGTCCCATCCCAACACTATCTTCTTATGGCTCATTTCTTCTCATTGGCTGTGTTGTCAAAGAACAAAGTAAAGTGCAATTTGGCAGTCAGCCGGGTAATTAAAGACTTGGCCCAAGTATTTGGGCCACGAAATTACTTTGTAATCCTAATTTTCTGTTTTGACTTTTTATGATTCAAATGAATGGAATAATTGTTTTACTGTGCGTTTTATAGACCAAACAGCATTGTCCGTAGGATGGCAAATGTCTGAACTAAAAGTTAGCATTTAAAGAAATCTATTTGGACGTTTTCAAGTTTTTCCACGTTTAGATCTGAATAGCCTCAGTTAATATATGAACAAAGGATATCTATTATTTCGTGGAATTATTCTGAAATTGATCCCCTCTAAGAGCATTAATCTCATATCCCTTGACCCAAAAGCCAGACCATTTAATACATAATGAGAGAGAGAAAAATGTGAACAGCATGACATTTTCTCAAACTACTCATGTTTTACAAAAAAAAGGTAGAAAAGACATTGCAAAGTTTCCCTATTTCTATGTGTGATTACTTAGAGACTAAATACTTATTTCAGTCTCTAGCAGCAAAAATAGCAACCTATTAAGATCAGCACCCACACTGGTTAGCTCTAGTGGGGAGAACTTGTACTATGACGCCCAGGTCAGGGATTTAATGCCCATGGGATCCAATTAGCTTCACATAGAAGGAGGCTCCAGCCCTGTGAGACACATGTTCCTTCCCTAGTCCTGCTAATGCCCATGCTCCTTTTTACGCCAACACAGCCCGAGCCCAGGCCTCGTCACCGGACATGGCAGCAGCTTCCTTACTGGTCTGCCTGCCTCTCTACTGGCCATTCAGTCACCTACCATGGGAAGTACACATTCTCTGCCAGGCCTTAAAGGCTGTTCCTTTACAACCCACCCTTTTCTTCAGATCACCCCACTCTCCCGGTGTTTCCTAACGCAGACTTGGTACTCTGTCCAGCCCTGTCCTCTGTGTCCACGTGTCTCAGGAAAGCCCTAGTCCTGTGTCTTTGCTCGGGCTGTTTCCCAGGCTTCCTGCTCGCTACTCCAAGGCCTAGTCAAGTCCTATCTCCTTCACGACACCATCCTCGACCACTCCAGTCTGCATTAACTGTTCCCCAAACTCCGACAACATTCACAGTCTCTTCCACACACAACATGCAGAGTTTCGCCATGTTCCCTACTGTGTCTGCTATACGTATCTCATCTGCACGATCATGTTGTGACTTTACTGTATGCCCTGTGGCCTGTGCTTCTCCCCCACCCTTCATCCTGGTCCAGTGAGTCTAACAAAGTAGGTGCTTAATAAAAAGGTTTTGGCTAAATAATCAAAGGAGTGCTACATTAGAGTAAGTAGCTGGATCCTGCTACCACACCACAACCACCAGGAGAAAAATACCTATGGCCAGCTGCCCCTCTCTCAATGGGTGATTTTTTGTAATACAAGGAACACTACATTATTATTCCACAAAATAAGAGCAACACCAAGAAGTCTTAACATGCCCACCACTCTTAATCTGCAATACAGTTAGTTAGCAATACATTTTTTAGTACAAATATTTTTTGGAATTTATTATTAATTATGCATAATAATTTTTGACCACTACTGTTTAATAAAAGAGGGCAGTAGGGAAGAATTCATTATTTGAGAATTAAAGGAGATGGATTGTTTTCCTTATAAAAAATGAAGAGTTTGAAATGTAGGGTACTTTAGAAGTGTTATTCATTTATCATTTTAGGTGCTTTCTAAATTAAAGGTATTTCCAGTATGGATCCAAATCTGTATCAGTCAATTTGACACAAACAATCTTCGCAAAAATAGTTACTACACAAAGGAATGCCATTAAGACATCAAAAAAATTTTTAAGTTTTTCTCAATTTACCAGTGGTCACTCTGCAATTGATTTTACTGTTAGGTTGCCTTAGCAACCCCTTTAACCACAAAAATTGCAAAGGCAAATATTGTCATAAGTTCTACATTTATAAGATCAAAATTAATAAATTATGAGAACATATTTATTTTTACATATGTTTTCCACTGGAGTTTTCCAGGGTTGCTATTCATTTTTACCCAAATGTTTTTGGGTAAAAAAATAAATTACTACAAAGCAAGATTCTTGTGTTTTCTAAAAGAAATGATTTGGTTTAACTGCTGCTTATAAAGATGCTGTTTTATGGCCAGATTACTGTAGACTAAACTATAAATGTCCCAAGGGAAGGGATCATACCGTTTTCAAATTTATATGTGAAACATCTAACACCCAACACAGTGCAAAGTGACTGGTACACACTTGGTACTCTTGGACTGGGCAGAGCAAAATTAAAATATAAAATTACATTTTACTGTGATATATCATTGCATTAAAATCATAGCACTACGGTGACTCGATTAACAAATTCTGTTTGGGGAAATGAAGACGTTGGAAATGTGGAGGGAGTTGATGTTGGATCAGTCTCTCCCCCTCAGCAATGGATGGCAACACATCAGAGCTTTGAGTTTCAGGTCTCACTGAATTATCCATGCCCAGCACTGTGCAGATCCAACAGAAAAATGAAAAGGCCTATGAGTTATAAATTTAAAAGGAAGGCCGGGCACGGTGGCTCATGCCTGTAATCTTAGCACTCTGGGAGGCCGAGGCGGGTGGATCACTCAAGGTCAGGAGTTCGAGACCAGCCTGAGCAAGAGCGAGACCCCATCTCTACCAAAAAATAGAAAGAAATGATCTGGACAACTAAAAATATATATATATATATATAAAATTAGCCGGGCATGGTGGCGCATGCCTGTAGTCCCAGCTACTTGGGAGGCTGAGGCAGAAGGATTGCTTGAGCCCGGGAGTTTGAGGTTGCTGTGAGCTAGGCTGACGCCACGGCACTCACTCTAGCCAGGGCAACAAAGCGAGACTCTGTCTCAAAAAAAAAAAAAAGGAAAAGTTTTTTAGAAATTTTGAGAATGCTGCTTATTTTTTTTAACAAAATCATAAAAACCCAGCAGCTGCCTCCCACCACCACTGCTTAGATGTCTCCTCTCCTGGTACAGCTTCCCTGATTGTCAAGCGTGGCCTGGGTCCTCCCATATTGTCTGGTTCTAAGTTGCAGGCAGAGCGCGAATGAATTAGACCGTGTTTATCTGGCTAAGCTTGCAGAGGGCATGGGCTGTATCTTGTTCATTACCGTATCTCAAATGCCTGACCTAGTGCCTGGTATAGGCACTGAGTGAGTGAGTGAATGAATACTGCTATTTTGGGGACATAAAGATATGAAGATGAGTAATACAGCAAGGTCTTTTTTAAATTGAGGGCTACTAGCCTGCCAACAAACTAATCTGTTCTTGAATTAGCATTTTACAACAATTACCAGCCTCCCTTTGATAATAGCCTAAGTATATGAAGACTTCCTGCGAGAAAATAACAAGTACAAAGGCTCCACTAGCTACATGAGCAAAGGACTTGTTTCAGCAATTTGCAGAAGAGGAATTATAAATGGCAAATAAACATGGATAAAAATTATTCTATTCTACCTTAATGGTAAATTTTTTTAAACCGCGCTTAAGCAGCAAGATACAATTTAGCAAATTCTTCATGATAAAACCTGGTAAAAATTCAGTGAGATGGTCCAGCACATACATTTTAGTGCAAATTGGTAATACCTTTATATGCTCATACACACATATGCACACACATCCTAGTTCATGCCTTTTCACCCAAGAATTCCAACTCCAGGAAATAAAGATGTGATTGGGTAATTGTGTGCAGGTAGATGGTTATCTCAGTGTTACACGTCACAGCAATATGTTGGAAGCACCTTAATGTGAGCCATGGCACCCGGCCTCTCACTGTGGTTTTAATCTGCATTTCCATGATGAGTAATGATGTTGAACATTTTTTTATATATACCTGTTGGCCATTTGTATGGCTTCTTTTGAGAAATATCTGTTTAGGCCCTTTGCCCATTTTTAAATTGTTTTCTTGCTACTGAGTTGTGTTCCTTATATATTTTGGAAATTAAACCCTTACTAGATACGTAGTTTGCAAAATTGGCAAGTTCTCGAGAGTGTAATCAATGAGCTCTGTCATCCACACAGCAACCCTGATCTCCGGAGAACCGAGCCCGTCTTGGAGAGCCCCTTGCAGAGGACCAGCAGTGGCAGTTCCTCCAGCTCCAGCACTCCCAGCTCCCAGCCCAGCTCCCAAGGAGGCTCCCAGCCTGGATCGCAAGCGGGATCCAGTGAACGCACCAGAGTTCGAGGTAAAGCTTTATCTTACTTTTCCCTGGCAACATTGCCTGAGGAGGAAAGCTGTGGGCAAGGAAAATGGTTATTTTCTGACTCTGGTCTTTGTGTGGTCACCACTGTGTGATCTTAAACAGCCCCTTACCTGCTCTCACCCTCAGTCTCCTCAGGGGAGTGGGCCAGCATCCCTAATTGTGTGTGACATCAGAGTATGGACAAAATCCTTCCTAATCTCAGAAACCAGTGTTTCTAGGGAGATCACCAAATAGTGGTCTTATTTGAAAATGCAGTCACTTACCAGTCACCTGAATTTCCATTTCTATCTGATTGCCTGTGTTTGGAGTTTCATGTACCCCCAAACGTCCTGTTCACATTGTGCCAACAATTTCTTTAAGTATTCTGAAGAATGCTAGGTATTTCTCAAAACGAAATTCAGTAAATACTAATATAGAATAAATACACTTGAAAAAAGTAAAATCTTTTACGTAAAAAAAAGTTGGCTATTCCTATTAGACAGGTAAAAATTAGCCTCTCTAAACATTTAATTCAAATAATTCATCACTGTTTAGTTTTCATTAATGGAGAACCCTGCGAAAAAGATTATTATTGTCCAGATAACGATACATAATAATACGTTGTTTCTAGCTGATCAAAATTCATTCTTTCTGAATCAATTTCTTCAGAAGATAATTTTGCTTCCAAGTGATAAAGACCAGTACTTTTTAAAGTGCAATTTGATAAATATTAATGTACATATAAATTACTTATAAATTAAATTAAAAACACCAGTTCTCCTTTCTTTCTTAGCCTCTTTATTACACACAACCCCACAGTTTACTGCCTAATATCTTCTTAAGATTTTTAATAAGTAAAATCACTGTATGTCCGTTTTGAAAAGATTGATGTCTAACGTGATGTTCACGTCTCTGGATTGGGATAGGGACTGGCCTATGGCTGCCTCATATGCATTCTTCTGACCAGTGGCACATCCCAGAGCTACCCCCTGTACATCTTTGTTGCCTTGATCCAAATATAAATTTTCTTAATTTAGAAAACTGCCATCCCTTCCTTTTTTACTATTTGTAAGTAATTTCATATTAGAGCTAATATTAAAGAAAACCAAATTTATACACACAATTTTAATTCTCTGATCTGGCTTGGGCTTAATTCTTATAGTCTTTCCTTCATCCCCTAGTTTTTCTGGGTTATGAAAGATCTTATATCCTTGGTACATCCCTGCACAGGAAAGACCACTTTAAAACAAAACAAAACAAAACACAATCGCCCCTGCTGTAGATCGCCTCTTCTCTACCTGTGGGCTCACAGGCTGGAGAGATGCTATTCACTCACAGCACTAGGGAGCCTCCCTACGCCCCACCTGTGCTCTGCACCTCTTTTCAAGGGCAACACTGACAGCAACACCTTCCCTCCTGTCTTCACCCTGTTCTTCTGTCCTTAAAAAGCACAGACCACTCCTACCCCCACCTAAAAACCATTTGGCCACATAAAATAGCTATCCCTTTTTTCCTCACGAAACTCCATCGGAATAACCTACCCTGATGGGTAAAGGGTAAAGGAAGAAGCCAAGCATAACACCTTAACGTAGAAGCTGATTTCGCACAGTGATTAAGAATAGGACTTTCAGAAATCAGACAGAGTCCCAGCTCTGTCCATAAATTCAGCATGACCTCAGGCCAGCTGTGTCATCTTTCTAAGTCTGTGTCCAACTATAAAATAGTAAAATATCGCCACACCACTGGGTTGGAGCAAGGATTAATGAGGTAATTGACATAGAAAGCAATTGGCATTATGCCTGACAGGTCATAAGTGCTCAGTAGGTGGTGATGGTAGTGGTGCTTGCCACAGTTTGTCTTATTATTACCAGTGTCTTCCGGGTTACAAGCTTAAATGTGTTTTCCTGAACTTTTATTATTTTTCCATGGATGTGCTCAAGGATTTATCTAAGTGAATGATGTGGCCACTGAATCATCCTGAAGGGATGACTCATCACGGATGACTCATGCAGAACTGGAGCCAGCCCTTTCTCATGGTCATCTCTTCCTTGGCCCTCTGCTTTTTCCTGTAGCCAACAGTAAGTCGGAAGGATCACCTGTGCTCCCCCATGAGCCTGCCAAGGTGAAGCCAGAAGAATCCAGGGACATTACCCGGCCTAGTCGACCAGCTGTGAGTGCTTTTCTCTCTAAGACTTTCGAACTCTTTTTATTTACCAGAGAACCCACGGGATAAAGTGGTTGGGGATACACTGATGATTATGAACAAAAATTGTTGAGATTATAGGTTGATCACATGGCAGAAATACTCTCTAGGGATTAGGGGGATGGGGGGGCAAATCTACAACTAAAGGACATGGGGAGCACTAAAGGGAGGGAAGGGCATGCCTTTAATCCGCATTTGGGTGAGGCAAAGACATAAAGTGTAACTACAATGTTTGTACCCTCACAAAACCCTGGAATAATAAATTAAAAAAAAATAAAAAAAAATTGTTGAGATTAATAAAAAGTAATGGATGCCGGAAACATCCAGAAGAAAGTCATACCTGATTAGGAAAGAACTGAACAGATCTTGGATTGCTGTCCTCTGCCTTTGGATATTTTGCTGATCATTAGCACTCCTTTAGAGATAAAACAGGAAGAAAAATAACTCATATCATTCCAGAATTTCTACTCAGCGACTTTGGCAAAAAGATGTTGAAACTAGCAGTTAAGGACACGTGGGCACTTTCTATGCATTTCCCTTGTCTATTCTACTCTTTCCCCGTATTACTTTCCATATGAATTAATATTACAGTTTTTCTGCTGCTCTTCATATCTCTCGGCCTGTATTTTCTGGTCCAAAACTTGATAAGCATGGTCCAACTCGGCCCTGACAACTTGAAATCCAACTTCATTGCTGTAACATGACAAACCCCCAAGTAGCCTTACGGAAAGAAATTAGAGCATGGAGGCTGAAATTTGAAAGTTGAAAATTAATTTGGGATGAGTTACTATCCCAATAAATAAGTGTACTATATTTAAATTATCTGGGAATCTTTTCTCCAAAATGAATGTGAAGCTTTACTCTCTCTTTCATATGTGAAAGTCAGGAAGCATCCTGCGAGTGATCATGAAGGAATTTGCATCATTCTGAGTTGAAGTTGCCTTTGCCCTTATGTAGTTACCAGTTCTGTACTAACGATTCCAATTTTGTGTCTAACCTGCTGCTTTCTTCTGGCTTTGCCTTCTTCTGTGGATTCTTCTGGACTGGGTTCCTCTCATCTCAGAGCTATAAGAAAGCTATAGATGAGGTTAGTATTACCTTTTCTTTTGGTCATGCTTTCACAAAATGTAAATATTAAACTTATTTCCTGATGCTGACATTCAGAAAGGGGCCCAATGGGGTCACAGATTTAAAGTCCACTCATTTGCAGTGATCCGCTGAGGGGAGAGCCCCTTCAACGAAAGCAGCTTTAAGACCCTCAGACCTACCCCTATAAAGCTTCAGAGACCTTCCTTCTAAGTTAGAATGTCACTTTTCCAATGTTCCAGTCAGGCTAATGACAGGTATAGTGCTCTATTAATGGCAGTTTCTCCTTCCAGTATCTTCCAGGAGCAAACTTGTACTTGCCAGCCTTAGCTCTCAGTGGTTTTTCTAAGAAAGAAAAGACATCATTCTAGGGGACTCCAAATTTATAGTGTGTGATTTGTGAACAAGGAGTTACCAAGTATTGTTACATTAATTTTGTGGGACATTAACAACAGCATCAGCAGCAACATCAGCCTTAGTTAATGAATCCTGACAAGTTAAGTGACTTTATTTCCTTATCTAGGGAGACATTTTTCCATTAGAAAAATATATAGCTTTGCCAATGGTAGTTTGCTAAGAAGGATGACTGCCCTTCTGCTATTTGTCAGACCTGCATGAATACAGCACAGTAGACTTTGTTTAAGAGCCAGGCCTTGCAAAGAGTACTAAGTGCATGGAATCTAAAGACTACCGTTATGGCTTTAAGGCTGTGGCTCTGCTGAGCACCATTTTTGTGAAATTGTATGGGAAAAGCACTGGCTTTGGGATCAGCAAGCTGCATTCAAGTCTTGGCTCCCCCAGTACATGACTGGCTGGGACTAGTCCCAACCTCTCTGGGCCAGAGTTTCCTCAACTGTAGAATGGGGATGAAAACACCTTCCATGCCTCACTGACAGGATTGTTGAGGGTCCCTTGAAGTGATTTGTGCAAAAGCATTTTATGAAGTATGAAGTGCTACAGAAAGCCAAGAGTTTGTCTTGCCTTGGCTGTTAGGGTTTGGGCCAGAGGCATGGAGCTGTTTTGGCAGGTGGGAGAAGCATGTTCCTACGCATCTAGTCTTCACCAATGAGCCTCCCCATTCAGAGTGACTTAGAAAGTTATTACCATAGTTGAAGGAGTCTGGCTTATAAGAAGAACGAGCCTCTGCATGTCTGCAGCGTGTGGATGGCGTTTACAGGAAAGGAAGAGGGGAATGGTTTTCATTGCTCGGTGCCATGGCCTTGCTTGCCCCTTTCCCTCATAGCAGCGAGGAGGACGGCGATTATCACAACTTTTACCAGTTTTCTCCCAGAACAGGTAAAGAAAGAGAATGATGTTCTGGTGCTGTGGTTGCCAATAGAATGGTTGTGTGTGTGTGTGTGTGTGTGCACATACCCAACTCGGGAGGAATTGATTTCATGAGTCCATAAATTGGCTTGAATGGGGCTGTCCTGCAGGGCAGGGCACTCATGGGTTTCATCTGGTTAACCAGAGTATTTTAGACTTTTAAAAATTGCTTTATTTATTGTAGCGTACTGCACCACACTGGACAGAGATGAGAGAGGGCAACAGAGGTATAAGGAATTATAAATAATTGAGGGAATGTCAGCTGCACACCATAATCTCTAGGGCCATGTGTGCTTGGAGAAAGCCCTGCAAGTGATTCTGGTTCCCTGCCTCTGGAAGAATACAGGATTACTGGGTTCTCAACCGGGGATGATTCCTGCACTCCCTTTCCCTTAGGAGACATTTGGCAAAGTCTGGAGACAGTTTTGGTTGTCACAACTTTGGGGTGGGAGGCAGTGCTACTTGCCGATAAAGCGGAGGGGTGCTGCTGAACATCCCACAAATACACAAGGGAACTCCCCACAAGAAAGAATTATCTGGCCCAGAATGTCAGTAGCGCCACAGTTGAGAAACCTTGAACTAAGCCTTTTCCCCTTCTCCATTCGTAGGTTTTGATGTAGCGTCCCTCTCAGTGACTGTTTTGCCACTTAGATAAGCGAGATTGACATGAAAAGTCCTAAAATTCTTTTCGAAAACTTGTTGCTTGTTATGGCTAATTAAATGGTTTAATTTTTCACACAAATCAATCTGGAGGAGTGTTCATTAATGTGGCATTACTTTCTAACAGAATATGAGATTCTGTAGAATAGTGTGTAATCATTTAATTTGAAAATAAAGGCCATATTGAATAATTACATATTATTTAATTGCAGTGTGAAGATTATATGCACAAGCAAACCCTGGCTTTACCAGTATTTATTCATTAGTGTGTATGTAGGAATCTGAAAAATTCCAGAGCACATCCATAGATTGGATGTGCTCCAATTGGTTCAAGCTGTAACCAATTAAACTTAAAAGAAATTTTCAATGATTTCTAATGTTTAGTAAAAATCAGTGGTCCAACCCCTTTATTCCTCAGGTGAGGACACTGACATTAAGTGACTTGCCTAAGGTCGTATCTTTAGATTTCCTAAAAAGGAAATAAACAATTTTAATATATAAAGAAAAATCCAGCTTAAAATTTTTTAACAAAATAATAGTTCAAAAAATTGTACTAAAATTTGAATAAATTCTAATGTTTCTAAAAAGAGACCTAGAAGGCACCTTTTTAGGCAAGATCTGCATAATTGTCAGATTAAACAAGCTTTGCTGAATGAAAAATTACATCAAGTTGATTCTCAAAAGTGTTACATCAAAGAAGCCTGTGGGTAAGAGCCTTCTAACTATCTTCACATTTACTCCATAATAGAAAAATCTTATACCATTTTGCCGTATTATTTTTTTAGTTACACGTTTTCACATTTCTTCATGCTAAATAGAATTTTCATTTCCTTTTTTAAATACTTTTTAGCTCCAGGCTTGAGACAGCCAAGCAATAAATTACTACAAAGACTCATTATATGGAGAAAATTGGTATTGTCAGAGAATAAAATGTATGAAAATGGATCTGAACCTGATGATGTCAATTTTAGATCATGTCTATTTCCTATAACTTTGCTATTGTAAATTTTTCCATGGTGGATGGATAAGAAACAAAACTTCAGCTAAACACATAGGCTATTGGCAATGGAAGACTCATTTTCTTTGGGGGTATTACTTTGGAATTACTCATTATTGTTACCTTGGGATTTTCATATATGTCTCACCCTTCAAGCTGTAACCAATTAAACTTAAAAGAAATTTTCAATGATTTCTAATGTTTCAGGAAATACAGCTTTTTAAAAATACAGAAGCAAAAAAATTGTAATTAAAAGCAAAATTACAAAGCAGGTCAGAACTTTAAAGTGTTTCTAAATACAGTGCTTGGAAAAATTTAGGTCATTTTATTAATAACAAGTGAAATTTTCTTTAAATCAATAGCCTGTGGACTAGTTAACTATTTCTAAATAATTTTGATTTTAAAAAATTTATTTTGTCTTCTTTTGAAGTGTAAGAGATAATGAAATCAAGCCCTGGGGAAAATGTATCATTAATTTAAATAAATCATAGCTAATCATATTATATTTTACTCACAGAATTATTGGCGATATAAATAAACTTTTTCAAACCATATTCTCTCTTTAAATTGCATAAAATGTTATTTTTAATGACAAAAACATTTTAAATACTAGTTATATTTTTTGATGAAACTTAACATCATCCTAACATATAGACATCAAAATACAAAATAAATTTATCTAATTGGTTATTATTTTACTGGTTTAGAGGATTATAATGTCCTTTTCCTTTAATAGCCTTAACAAATATGGAGATATATTTTCCCAATGTCCTTAAGTATAGCATACCCTTCACTTTCTTCTTCATTTGATAAACATTGACAATTGTCAAGAGGAAATAAGTAAAAAACTGAAATCCAGATATTAGTTTTTCCTATTTTGGCCCATTGCCAAAGAAACCAGAAATAAATTTGCATAAAATTTTGTGTTGTAGTTTTCCTCTTTCTTATAGTACACAGTATATTTAAACACAGTTGAGCCTTTTTAATGCAATTCTGCTTTTACTTGCACGGATAGGGGGATACATCCACTGAGATTGAGGCGTGCGCAAGTGTGCATGTGTGTAAAAACCCTAGCAAGCGTGTTTGTACACATAATGCACAGTTTGAATTTTCAGAAACTTCTTTTTTCAAGGGCTTCTATTCAAGTAACTTCAGAACAAATTTAAAAGTCATTATTGCTTTCCCCTTGATAACACCTTGAACTTCTTAAATTTCTAGAACAAATAACGTACCTGAAGTGTTTCCTCTTCTAGTCTTAACTAAAATAGTAATACCTGACATATAGGTGGCAGTAGAGAAACATGACAGTTTGTCGTCTTCTCAAAATATGATTATAATTGTAACTTAACACATTTATCACAGCTTTTCTTCTAACCAATTAGGACAGATTATCAAGAGTCATTTAGATTACTCAGATTGCTCTAATTCTACATCAAGTGAATTGGATAAATACCTTTCTGGATTAAAATAAAGAGAGAATATGGCCATAAGATAACTGTGGGATTCAGTATTTTTCAATGAGTTTTTTTCTCCCTAATCCCCTGTCTCTCACTGAATGCTCTGATTCCCACATGGGTCACTTATGTAGGGAGAAATGGTAAGACTGATGTCAAATTGCTTTTTCCTCATTTGCATGCTGTGTGCCATGGGCAGTTTAACCCATGCAAATTAGAGTGGCCATGCTTTTGCAGAACTGCTTCCTCTGCATTGCTCTGAAAGCATGTAAAATAAAAGGTAGTCAGATACTCAGCACACTGCCTGCAGTATGCCTGGTGATTAGATACCACATCATCACATCCATAAGGCTAAAGATTTCATCATACTCATGGAAAACTGAAAAATGATCTCTTCCTTTTGGTGTTTGTACATTCTTTTCTGTGTTCTTTGCCAGGGTTTCTGCCAGGTGGCTAGAATTTAAAACAAAGGAAAATGAAACACCTATTATTCTGGAAGAGAACTCCTTTTTTTTTTTCCTCTTGATTTACTCAGCTCTGTGGCTATAAATTTCAGTGGCACTAGGCTTTGGGGTGGGCCATGATTTGATGTGGTGCCTCTGCTCTCCAGGGAATGATGACACACCAATGAGTCATTGTACTAGCTGGAACCTTGGGAATTGCTCTGTTCTATGACTGATGCTAGATTTTGGTGCAGTAGCAATCAGAAAGCGGAAAAGCCATCACTGTGGCTTGGGCAGGAGTCCCAGAATACTGGGGAACAATTTCTAATCCTGTATACTTTCCCATTAACTCTGAGGGTGACCACCTTCACCTTTCTAAAATAAAATGAGAGCCCAGTGTTTGTATATATGTGTATAAACATACACATATATACACATATACATATATCCACGTATATATTCAGAACTGAACAGTCTCAGTCTAGCTATTGGTTTTGAACAAAGTTTAAATTGATTTCATCTCTTCTAGCTTTTCTACATGCTACAAACATTGTTTTCTTAGTTCCATGCAGTAACTACGTTTGTCACAGTTATATAGAGAGCTTTTTTTCTTGTTGCTTAAGCTGGAGCACTGACTTGCTGAGAGATATAGCTTTGATCATATCTACCATTTATACGCTGAACAAACTTTTATTTTGTAGGATCTGACAGCATTAGCCAAAGAATTAAGAGAACTCCGGATTGAAGAAACAAACCGCCCACTGAAGAAGGTGACTGATTACTCCTCTTCCAGTGAGGAGTCTGAGAGCAGTGAAGAAGAGGAAGAAGATGGAGAGAGTGAGACCCATGACGGGACAGTGGCTGTCAGTGACATACCCAGACTGATGTAAGAGGACTACTTTTTAAATGTAGACCAGGAGGGAACTAGGTTTCCAAAACAAAAGGACAAGAAATATGAATTAAATATAAGATTATATATGGACCTCTGGCAAGATAAATTGACTTTAGGGATTTGAATTTTATTAGGGCATAGTTTTATAATTATCTCTTCCCATAGACACAATCACTGAGAATATGTAGCATTTCTAAAAGGACTGCAGTCACTTTACCTAGCCGTTGCCATTGGATTGACTGCCCTTTTGGTGACTTTCTTGGTTCTTTTCATCTCCAGGACAAACAATTTTGACAACCAAACTGTTGACACATGCCTTTCCCCATAGAACTGAAAGAGAGAAATCGTGGGCAATGACATTTAGGAATTAAAATTAACATGAAGCATACATTGCAGTACCACCACTACTACCAATAAATAAGGAGACATGCGTATAGCAGCATGGATTAGCATCCCAGCAAAAGAATCAAGAGTCAGATAATCTTGCAGACAAACTTCCAAGTGTTTGACTTAAATATACCCCATTATGATTTTCTACTTCATCCCCTTCATTGACTCTTTTACCTGATCCATTTTTCTGTGGTCTGCGTCTTTGCCACATACTGTCTGTCAAACTCTTTGCAACCTTTTTTGTACATTTGTATGTATATTTATATCTACCTGTATTTGCCTTAGTAGTTGTAGCCTTTACTTCTTTTTTCTCGTTGGAGTGGATCCTGTGAAAGAACTTGTCCCCATCCCATATTGCTTCCCCAATTCCTTCCCCAAATAAACACACGGAGCCATTGCCCTGATTTGCTATAACCTTAATAGGAATGTGATGCTAACTTTTCCAACTTCACTCTTCAGTCACCTCCATTTCTATGACTCAGCTTCTAGTATTGACCATCAGACCACACTCACTCTATATAGAGAAGATGCCATTTAAAGCCATAAATTATTGTTCTGTTCAGCATGGATTGGAGAGACAGGGTTGGCCAGTCTGCAGGGCATGTTATTCATTGATTAACCATCATTAAATACAAGCAATTCTGAGAGGCAAATCCAATTATCATAGCTGAAAATCCATACTTGTTATTTGGCTGTTGATTACCCAGTTATTGACAACCGTTAATATGCTAAAATATGACATTTTGAAACAAATTGTATTAAATTGCTTTTTTAACAGCAAATAAAATTGTTCTAGAGGGAAAACCACTAATTTGGAACTTTTCTGCGAAACATGCTGGCCTTTTCGGTTTTTGTCTTGACTCAACATTGCTTAATTCTTCTAACAGATGTTTTGAATTCCTTTTAAGCACTGAGCATACAGCTATCAGGATGAGAGTCGATTATGAAATTAAAAGATTGCTAAAACTCCCACTATGTGTTAGACATGATACTGAGAGTTTTGAGGGATTTGAAAAGTTCATACTTGGGTTCTGCCTTCCAAAAGTTTATATTCTAGTTAGAAAGAGACAAAATCACACATGGAAAACTGCAGGCTAATATAAATATTTGGAGGAGCAACTAAAGACCATTTGGGAAGAAATATTAATTAGCATTTGGTTTTTAAGCCCACCTATCGTATTTTGCAAGGCTATTAAATGGTGGTCACCCACCTACCTCTGAAGGCAAATCTGGGACTTCTCTCCCACTGCAGAAACACCCACCTTTCTAAAATTCCCTGAGTAGACTATGTTGTGCTTCTGTCTGCTGTCTGACACTCTCCTGTTCCTTCAGAAGCCACCTGCTCACAGCCCAGCCCGTTCGGATAAAGCCTGTCCCCTCTTCTTTGCAGCCACTGTATCTTGTGTGTACTTCTGCATTTTCATGTAGTGCCTTGAGTCAGTATTATTTATTATGTGTTTGTCTCCCTCTCTGGGCTGTGAGATCCCTGAGGGTGAGGATTTTGTCTTGCTCATCTCTCTTACTCTTAACACATTGCATGGTGTTTGGAACAGAGTGGATCTTCAGTGACTTTGATTTACATTTAACTGGACTGAATTGAAATTGCAAGTCCTGACTTTGAAGCGTTTCCAGGGGTGAGGAACTTGCAGCCATAAGACTATATGTGGCCTTGCAGGTCCTTAAGTGCAGCCTTTTAACTGAATCCAAATTTTCTGTAAAAATTGTTTGAGTTCTGGCCTGAATAATGTCACAGAAGGGTGACTCTGGTCATGCTCTATCCCTAGTTCCTACAACCCTGTACATCCCTGGGGCCCCTGATTGCCCCTAGCACATGTGCTCCAACCAAACGACCTTCTGATCAGCTCTGCAAAGGCCTTGTCCCTTTCCAGTATTGTGCCCCTCCCTGGAATGACCCCTCCCTCTGCCCTTCATTCTCACTTACGTCCTGCCTTGTATTTGAGTATTTGTTATGTTTTTCTTTAGTTCTAGAAACCATGTCTTGCTCAGCTTTTATATCCACACCCAGTGCCAAACCAGGGGCCTTTCAACTAACAGGAGGTACTCAGTGAATGCATATTGAATTGAATAAATCAATATTCCAGGAACACTTTGGCAAATGCAATTAGAGGAAATTATTATTCTAAACCTGCAGCATAATTACAGTAAATTTCTTATAGTTTTCCTGCTAACGTGGAGAGTTTTGTTTTGCTTTGTTGCTTTTTACAGTCTTTATAGGATTTTGAACAACTAATTTTTCCTGCCCACCCTCTATATTGGAAAAATAATTTTTAGAACAAAGGATTACTTTAACTATAACATGGTGTTGTTTTAGCCCTAGTGGGTTTTTAATGATTGCCTTTTTCCCCATTCTTTTAATATTAATACACTTTATTTTTTAGAATAATTTTAGATTTACAGAAAAATTGGGCAGATAGTTCCCTATTATTGTATTACCCCCACCACTCCGTCCCCACACAGTTTCCTCTTTCATTGGCATCTTACATCATGCATAGTGTAGTGTATACGTTATAAGTCATGAAGCAGTACTGATACGTCATTATTAACTAAAAATCCATAGTTTATTCAGGTTTCCTTAGTTGTTACCCCAATGTCCTTTTTCTCCTCCAGGATCTCATCTAGGATACAACATTACATCTCGTTGTCATGTCTCCTTAGACTCCTCTTGGCTATGACAGTTTCTCAGACTTTCTTTGTTTTTGATGAACTTGGCAGTTTTGAGGAGTACCGATGGGATATATTGTAAAACACCACTCCGTTGGAATTTATCTGATGTTATTCTCATGATTAGACTAGGGTTAAGGGGTTTTGGAAGAGGATCACAGAGGTAACATGACATTTTTATCACAGTATGTCAAGGGTAGATACTTTCAACATGATTTAGACTGTTAGTGTTCACCTTGATCACCTGTCAAGGTTCTCCACTGTGAAGTGATTGTTTTCCCCCCTTCTTTCTTTTTTTTTTT